CCGCGGGGGGCGGCTAAGGCTGCTGTACCAGGAGGAGTAGCTGCCGGCGCTGCTGGAGGACGAGGGGCTGGGTCGGTAGTAGGGGATGGGGCGTTTGCGGGCACTGGGGAGACACAGAGACAACACAAGGATGAATTTGCTGCCAAAACCTCCAAAAAGCACCGTTCACTCTGCACGACACTCCCCAAAAACGTGACTGTGTGTGTTTAAAAGAAAAAAAGGAAGAGGCCAGGCAGCTGGCAGGTCTTGGGATTCAAACCACCCACCCCCACGGCCCTGGGGAATGTCCTAAGCACCAAGTCTGACTCTGGGCTCTGCTCGATGGTGTTCCGAAGAGCCCTCAGTGTGAAGTACAGAGTCAATATTTGACTCTCCACAGTGTGGGACAGCTACCACAGGAGAGGGTGAAACAAAAAGCCTGTGGGAGGGTGCTCCTGGTACCTGATGGGCGAGTCCCTGCTCTGACTTTATCTCCCTTTTTTCTTCAGCTGTTGTAAATGAGACCATGCACCCCCATCCTCCTTCTCCCTTCAAGCTCTAGGAACTGTGGGTGGTCCTGCTGACCAGGCCCAGGGAAACGAGTCTCCTCCTGGAGAAACCTCTGCTGGCAAGGGCTGGGACCCAAGGCCAGCCCCTGGGGAGTGCCAGCTGAGCCCATCTCCAGAGGTTGGGACAGCATCTCCGTACCTTGTGATGCGCCGAGCTTCCAGGTGGCTGGGAGAGTCTCTCCTGCGCTTCCTCAGGGGCGAGTAGGACCTGCGGCGCCGGGCCCGCTCCCGGCGCGACTCCTCGCTGGACCCGTGCTTGTGCTCTCGCTCACGGTCCCTGGGGAAGGCACAGGGTGGAAGCTGTCACTGCCCGGCCTTTGTGGGGTGAGGTTTTGACGTGGAGGCACAGAGGATGCTCGGCTTCAAAGGGACCACTCTAAGAAAAGTGCTCTGGTGGCATCAGCCCTGTGCACACTCGCTTAGCTGGACCGACTGACACTCATCTGGCTGGGCAGACAGACAGCCGCTAATTGTGTCTCAGGGTTTCAGCAGTATCTCCCGGTGGCCCTGCCTGCCTGAATGCCATGTAGCTGTGCCTGTGGATGCACTTCGTACTTTCCTTTACTAAAAGGGCTCTTGCTGGCTGCTCTGCAGGAGAAGGCTGCCAGCAGCCCCCGTGTGAGCGGGGGTCCGGTGCACCCACGGGGCTGAGCGGCTCAGCACCGCTCGCCAGGAGGAGTGCCCGCGTTGCTATGGGTTTACTCCTTTGTTACATTCCCCTACACGCCAGCACAAGCCCTTCCCCGGAGCGCAGCTGACTTCATCCACCCTGCCCCAGCCATCTGCAGAGCAACGTGTTCCAGGTCAAGGGCCCGATCTTGCACGCAGGAAATGTTCTCCTCACTGGAGTCAGACCCTGGGAATGTAACATTTTAAGAGTAAAATGTTCACAGCAGCAGAGATGTTACTGGGAAGACTTGCCCAAAGGCTTCAGCCTGGAGAAGGCAAGACTCTGCGGGGACCTTAGAACTGCCTTCCAATACCTGAAAGGAACCTCCAGGAAGGCTGGAGAGGGACTTGTCACAAGAGCGCCCAGCGACAGGACAAGGGGTTTAAATGGTTTAAAACTGAAGGAGAGTAGGTTTAGACTAAATCTTAGGAGGTTCTTCAGTACGAGGGTGACCAGACTCGGACTAGATTGCCCAGAGAAGTTGTGGATGCCTGGAGGTGCTTCAGACCAGGTTGGATGAGGCCTTGAGCAGCCTAGTCTAGCTGAGAGGCTTCCCTGCCCATGGCAGAAAGGTTGGATTAAACGATCTCTAGGGTCCTTCCAACCTCAACCATTCTGTGATCTCTAGGGCTGAGCTGTGAGATGTGTTTTCTGTGGGGCATGGAGGGAGCAGAGTTTCCTGGACTGCGTTGCCCTCTGCAAGGCTGTGCAAATGCCGGCACGAAGGTACCTGGCACCTGCCCACGCAGCAGGGGCACTTCCCAGAGCCTGACAATGCTTTGGCAGAGCCGTGACTCTGGAAAGCAGAATGTCTTTCCCCTCTGCCAAGGGCTGCAGACTCCCTGAAGGGTGAAAGCTGTGGGCAGACCCCAGCAGAGCCCGACGCTCTGCCCACCTCTTGCAGCAGCAGCTGGGAGAGGGTCACTCCCCAGGTTTTCCTGTGAGGCATCTCCCATCCATCCGCCCAAAGTCCTGGCAGCCACCACCAAGCCATCTGTGCAGTCCTGGCTGCTTGGTGGTGTCCCCTGACAGGGCTCAGGGCTGGGGAACAGCCTCCTCACCTGCCACATGCTCCAAATGTGAGCTACCATGATGCTTCCTGGCCAAGGACAAACCTCTCTTCCTTCCCAGTGACCTACCCCTGAAAGTGCTTTGTGAGAAATTCCCCTGAGCCCATGCAGAGCAGTCCTTGGCTAGAGGAAATCCACTTTTCCCACAGCAAGTGAAGGGCTTGTCTCTGGGCTCGTCCTTCTGCAACCAGCACCAGCTCTGGGGCAATAAGTGGTGAGAAATTTCTGCTGGCCTGGGGAGCAACATCACACCCTGCCCTACGCCTTACTCTGTGTCCAGGGGACGACTCCTCACCCTGGGCCAGCACGGGAGCTGAGGGAATGATTTGGGGCTGGCAGGAGCCAGCCAGTGTGCTGGAGTCCATGCCAGCAATGGAGGCAGTGGGTACCACGTGAGAAGGCAGCTGTACCTGCTGGGGCTGTAGCGGGAGTAACTGGGGCTCCGACGAGGCCTTGAGCTCCTGCTCCCAGGGCTTTTTTTGCAGGATTTGGAGGAATAGCTGGGGGAACGTGAAGAAGACCTGGAGACAGGCAAGAACCATAGAAGTGTCAGACACTAGAGGCTGTACCAGGCTCCCCTGAATAGGGGCTCATGGTGGGGAAGAGATGCCCCACGTTCCAGGGTCTCAGCTTGGCTCTGGGTGGCCAATTCACCCCAAGCCATCCCTTGGTACCCCAAAACTCTGACAGCTCCTCCTGCAAGGAGCCTGCCAGCCCGTGAGGGTTAGACATTGCCTGGGGTCACCCAGACAGCCATCTGAGCTGGCCTTACCTCCTTCCTGAAGAGCAGGACCTGCTTCGGGAGCCCCTGGGAGAGGCCTTGTGGCGTGAGGAGCGGGAGCGGCTGGAGCCAGGGGAGGACCTGCCCGTGCTGCTGGAGGACTTGCTGCGAGAGCACGGCCTCAGCGGGGAGCTGGGGCTTGGCGACGAGAGGAAGTTCTGCTGCTTCTCCTCTGAACAGCTGAGACACAAGGACAGGCACCCTCTGTGAACATATGTTTGGACGGTCATTGAATCATAGAATCACAGAATCATTAAGGCTGGAAAAGACCTCTGAGATCATCAAGTCCAACTGTCACCCACCACCACCATGACCATTAGACCATGTCCCCACGTGCCACATCTACATGCTCTTTGAACACCTCCAGGGATGGTGACTCCGCCACCTCCCTGGGCATCCTGTTCCAGTGTGTCTCCCCTCTTTCAGTAAAGAAATTCTTCCTAATATCCAATTGAAACCTCCCTGGCACAACTTGAGCCCACTTCCTCTCGTCCTGTTGCTAGTAACCTGGGAGAAGAGACCAAAAGCTGCTGAAGCTGTGGCTGAACTGAGACTGGTCCCTGGCTGAGGGGAGCACCATTGTACAGCCAACAAATGCCCCCTTCATCCCATTCCTCAAGTGGGGATAAAAAAAGAACTCCTGGCTGCCCAGGCTGCTGTTGCAGGAGACCCCTTGTGCATGGGTCCGAGCCCAGGAGCTCCCCCTCCAGGCTGTGGAAGAGGTCTCAGGTGCTGTGAGGGGCAGCTCTTCTGCCTCATGCCTGGCACTCCAGAAGTGTCTGTCTGGCAGAGCATGGGTCAGGCTGGCGAGTGGTGCAAGCCCCGGGGAGGGAGCGAGGTGAGAAGTGCTGGAGCAGGGGAAAGCCAGAGCAGGGCAGGGCAAGGCTCCAGCCTGGCTGTGAGCAGCACGAGTGGGCATGTCCCATTGCCTGTGGACGGGGCTGTGTGAATTGCTCTGCTCCCAGAAGTTCATAACCCTCCTGGGTATGCGCTGGCGTTGGAGCCCAGCAGCCAGGCAGGCTCCCAACAGCCAAGGCCAGCTGCAATCCCAGCTCCACCCATGTGAAGGCAGAGTTATCCCACTGGACTCACGAGGTGAAACAGCCTGAAAATTTTACCCTCTGACTGAAAACCGTGGGCTTGTTCTTCCTGACACAAGTCCCCTGGCTCCCTCCCCAGTCTCTCTCAGTGCTCCCATCCCGGACCACATCCTGGCTCTAACGTTCAGCCTCTATGACCCGAGGGCCTGAGCTGGAAGAGCTCCTGAACACCACTGCCCGAGCGTGGCCTGGAGCACCAGCCACCACGCTCCAGTGCCCTCCACCCCAGCACCCTGTCAAACCCCCAGGAGTGGTTGGCTGGCACTGGGGGTAGTCTGAGTCCTTGCCCTGGTCCCGACGCCCCGTGGCCCTGGCACACAAAGCTGCTGCTGCTGTGTTTTCCTGCAGCCAGTGAGCCCCCTGTGCTCCCCATCTGCAGGAGATGCTGTCACGTCACCCAGGACCAGTCCCGAATGCAGTGGGAAGGGGTGGGCTGGATTTGGCTCATTGGACAGGTCAAGGAAGATCCCATAATGGCTTCAGTGAAAGTGAATCCCACTTCCCTTCCCCACAGGATGCAGATCTGGAGCATTAGCACAGCAACCCTCTGATGTGCCTTTCAGAATTAGCCCAGAAGGACCAGAGACTCTTTTCTTTGACATGGTCATCCCAGCTGAGCACCATGTGCTCAGGACGCAGCTCGACCCAGGGCTCAGGCAATGCCCAGGCCGGGTTTTCATCTTCCTCCTCAAGGCTACAGCGTTGGTCATTGCTGGGTTCTGGACTCCAGACTGGCAAGACCGTGGGTGTGATTTACATCAAACTGCCTCCAAACCACAAAAACCTCCCTGCCAGCTCACCACTGCGACTGGCGAGCAGGCAGGAGATACAGAGCAACAACGTACCAGGTATTTGGCTGCCAGCAGCAGCTACTGGTAATCACTGACCTTCGGTCTTGTCCCTGGGCATCTGGAGACAGATTTTCCAAAGCTGTTCCCTTGGTCTGGGAAAAGCAACTGGTGAAGGAATTTCCTGAATCAGAGCTGTTATCGCTGTTGGCCAGTTTGGGCTTCCCGGACGAGAAGGCATGGCCAAAGCCATCATGGACTAGACTTCTTTTCTCCTGGCTGTCCTTTGACCTGGACGAGCTCGTTTGAGTGGAGGGAGGGGAGGAAGTATCGTTTCCTGAGTCATATTCATGATACTCTCCATTGTGGCTGGCTAGGTTGCCAGGCGGGCTGTCTGTTTTGGTAAAGAGGTCAGCAGAAGACCCTGACTGAGAGATCTGAAAGCAAAAAAGCCATTTGGCATTGTTTGAATGTTTTTTTTTGGTTTTTTTTTTTTTTTTGGGGGGGGTGTTTTTGGTTTTACTTTGCTTTTTTCTTTTTTTTTTAAATAAACCCAGAAATTTTACCATCATGATGCACTGAAACAAAAGGAAAGGAAAGAAATGAAGTAAGAAAGAAAGAACGAAAAAGAAGAAAGAGAAGAAAACAAAGGCACATATCCCTGAAAGAAATTCACAGTAAGAAGAAACTTCTTTTCCCCCTGTTATAATAATGGGAAGACTTAGAGATCATGCAAAGAGTATCAGCATGCGATTCATGTTAAACAAAAGTGTTCAACAAAGTAAACGGGCAAACAAAGAACCAAAATAACTAACTAAAGAAGGTATAACAGAGGACAAAGCCCTTATTTAACCTTAAAAAAGGGGGAGAAAAAAAAAAAGAAATGGGTATTTACATTAAAAAAAATATCTTACATAATCCTTGGAAAGAAAATAAAAATGAAACAAAATCTTAAACGGGTAAATATTTTAAGCTTAATAAAGAGGCTGGATGAATAAAATAAGCAAAGGAAAATCAAATCAAATTAAGGGCTTCTGTATGAAGTAAAAAACGGCAAATAAAGAAGCTTATCACTTGGAAATAAAAAAAAAAGAAAAAGAAAAAATAAAATAGGATGGGGGAAGGGATAAAAGAAAAATCCCTCTGGAAATAAAAGGTATAGAGATACTTCTTTGTGTGCTTTTTTCCCCCTGAAGAAGATACAGCTAATGCGCTCGAGTGACCTCTAAGAAATTCCCTGGTGTCTTGCGGATAGCATCCACTTACCCATCAAGAACTCCTCCTTTAGTAGGTAAGGTGTAAGAAAAAAGGAAGATGAAAAAAACACAACCCCTCTCTTCAATCCACACTGCCAACTGTTCGCTCGCCTCCGCTACGCAAACGCCGCGCCTGCTCTTCGGCTGCTGACTGGGCTCGCTCCTTGGGCCTTTTCCTCCCTCCAGTGAGGCTGCCCAGTCTGCTCCCGGGGGCTGAGCAGCTGCAATTTGCGCTAAATCCCCTGGGCTCTCATGGAAGTGACAAAGGGAGCTCAAGTGGGGGAAGGAATGAAAAAAAATATAGAGGAGGAAAAAAATATCCCCCCCACCCTCGCCGTGCTGTGCTGGAGACCTGCGGGGATGGGGATGGCACGGCCCTGCTCCTGCCAGCCTCTGCTGGGGGG